AATGTATGTTTTAACTTTTAAGCTATTTAATTTTTTTTTATGATTTTTATTAACTTTTATCAAAAGAAAATATTAAAATGCAAAATATTTTTTCAAGATTTTTTTTTAGGTTTCACCATTAGAAAACAATACCATCAAACCTAAAAGATGAAAATGTTTTTGGAGATGCTCTTAGGGCCTGAGATGGGTCTCCAACTCGTTATCCCACTAAGACGAACCTATTTCCAATGTATAAACTATTAAGTAAGGTCGTAAGGGCCAAATCAAAACACAGATATGTAACGATATGCAGTCACAAAAAACTACACGAGCATATGCGGTCTTTGAATTGCCCTTGATGTTAACTTTAAAATGGTCATGTTTTCTTTTTTCTTTTTCTTTTATAATGTATGATCCTGCTCTTTGACAAGGTCTGGTAACATTTTTTTTTATCGAAATAGTAAGAGCAGAATTAATATTTTATATAAAAAAGAAGATATACTCTATTTGTTTTTTATATCTCTCATGTGATTAATAACATAAATTTTTCGACAGAAGCTACATAATATATTATAAAATGGATGTGGCGACTCTATATGTTGTTACCAAAATCTCCATTTCAACCGGATAAATAGAGGTGAAAGTGTGTGTAGTACACTATTGTTCACTGGTAAAGCTCCATTAATTCTACTCTTATTATTTTTTTTGGTCATAACCACTCTTACTATTTCGATTATATATTCTGTACTTTATAATTTTAGTAGTTCATTCTACTGAATTCATAGTTCTGACCATCACAAAATCAGTGGCTAGAACTATATTTTGTAATAGTGGGAAAAAAAAGAGCTACGTTTAACGGTAAAATTATGTGGTCGATACTCCACAGAAATTTATTCAGCTACTTTATTTTTCCGAATTTTCAATTATTATTTTTATCGGCTTGTCAGTTGGTTTTAAAATCTGCCTGTCGTTAAAAATGAAGTGTGTTTATTTAACTTTTAAATTAAATTTAAGAAATTATAGTTGTCTTTTTTGTACTTCAACCACCACTTTATAAACACCACTTGCTTTTGTGTTGTCGGGTTGCACGCGTGCGATATAATATTACCGTTAAACTTTAACCATATATAATAATGCAAAAGAAGACATGATTGTAACACTTAAAAGTTATTAATTCGTTGTAAAGCTAATTAACCATACATCTCGCGCCTAACCAAACAATTAGTTATACGTACGTGTAAACATGGCTTTTTTTTCATCTATTGTAAATTTTTCTTGTACAATTCTAACATTTTACAAATCATGTAAACAGCTGTAACATGCATAATGATCTTGAGGATGTAAGCTTTGAACTCAATTTTAAATTACGTATTTTACTATTTTTAAAGCTAACAACTGGTTATTTTGTCATTACATCTG